GCATCATATCAAATACAGCAGTGAGGTGGGTTAAGTGGAGCTTTGGGGTGGAGCTGTAAATAAGTATATCATCAAAGAAAATAACCACAAATTTCCTCAAGAAATCAGCAAAAATAGTGTTCATGGTAGATTAGAAGGTTGATGGGGCATTAGAAAGACCAAAGGGCATAACCACAAACTCAAAGTGCCCATGATGTGTTCTAAACGCGGTCTTGTGGATGTCAGAGGGGTTCATTTTGACTTGATGGTACCCTGATCTTAAATCCAATTTGGAGAAGATAGTAGCTCCATGGAGTTCATCCAGTAATTCATCAATAGTGGAAATAGGAATTTTATCTTGGACTGTAATAGCATTGAGGGCCCGATAATCCACACAAAATCTCCAAGTGCCATCCCTTTTCTTGACCAATAAAACAGGGGAACTAAAAGCAGAATGGCTAGGTTGTATGATGCCCTTCTGTAACATATCAGTCACCAACTTTTCAATCTCAGTTTTTTTGGTAATGGGGGTAACGGTAGGGTCTCACTTGAACTGGTTTAGAATTGGGTATCAGGTGAATGTGATGGTTATAGGCTCTGTCAGGTGGTAAAGATGAAGGTTCTGCAAAGATATCAGTAAAACTTTCCAGCAAGCTAAGTAACTCGGGAAATTCCACAGAAGGTGGCTGGGAGGGTGGAATTAGGGTGTTAGGAGATGTAAAACACATCAAGCAAGATGAAACCGAATCCTGAAGGATCAATTTGTGCAATTGAGAAGGAGTTACTTGGCTGGAAGTAATGGTACCTACTCCTTGGAGTAACACCTGTGAACCATGGTGGACGAAGGACATGGTGAGAGCTGAGTAATAAGTGACAATAGGGCCCAAAGTGGATAGCCATTGAACCCCTAAAACCAAGTCAGCTCCCTTTAACTCAATTACAAATAAATCAACAGTGAACAATTGAGATTGGATATCAACTGCAACATCTTGACACATAGCAGAGCAGATAAGGGCATCATCATTGCCCACCTGTACTTTGAAAGGCTTAATAACATGTAATGTTAAATGAAGGTAAGAAGCCATACGTAGGGTGATAAAGTTGTGGGTACTACCTCCATCAATCAGAATTTGGAGTGGCCGGCCAATAATTTTACCTTGCAATCTGAAGGAATTAGCAGAGCGATGCCCAAACAATGCGTTGAAACTAATTTCATGAGTGATGTCAGGAGTAGTAAGTTCCGCCTGTTCTTCGACTACTGGTTCCGGAATTGGATCATAAGGGATGTCAGGGGGTTCATCCTCTGTTCCTTTCAAGTATAAAAGAGTGGCACACCCTTTGCATCTGTGACCAAGCACAAATCTTACATCACAATTGAAGCAAAGGTTCTTTTCTCTGCGGGCTTGCATTTCAGCAGGGGCTAGGCGTCGGATAGGAATAGAAGGTAATGCTAGAGGGTTTTTTTGGTAAGTAGGGTTTGGGATTGATGAAATGGGTTGGGCAACTATGGGTTGTAGTGGGTTTGTACGATTCTGCCATGGTTTTGTGGTTTTTGTGTCTGCAAATTGCTCTTCATACACTTTGGCAAAGGCAAAAGCAGCGGTAACATCCAGAGGTCGATGCACCAACACTGCCCGGCGAATGTGGGGTTTCAAGCCCGAAATGAACAGACTCTTACGAGCAATAGGGGTTAGGTCAGGAACTCTTCTAGCCAGCAACTCAAATGCTGATTGGAATTTTAGGACATATCCTGTTTGTTGTAATTTAGCCAAGGAACTTAGAGGATCCTTAAATTCTGATGGTCCAAGGCATTGATGTAACGCTGTGACAAAGGAACACCAGTCTGGAAATTGGCCATTGCTGAATAGTGCTTCAAACCAGCAAGAAGTAGGCATATCTAAGTTAAAAGAAACCAGATCTAGGCGATCATGGTCAGCAACATGATGATAACGAAAATATCTATCCACAGCAAATAACCATGGATCTGGGTCTCCTGAGCCAAATCGGGGAAAATCAATCTTCATGGAACGTGGAGGTGGTGGTGTGCGACCAGGTGACGCACCTAGCAAACTGGTCTGATTGTTGGCACTTAAATTTGTGATCTGGTGCTACAACGTCTGTAACAGTGTAAAAACCTCTTGGATCTGGTGATTAACAGTTTCAAATCTCTAATTCTGCTCTTCAAAGCGTTGATTCTGGGAATTTTCAAATGTCTCCATACGATGATCTATCGTTCGGTCCATAGTTGTAAATTGTTGGTCATGGTTGTGTATCTGGTTAGCAAGCTCACGTAATCTGGTATTTTCTGCAATATTGCAGAAGATCAATGAAAGCACCAATGGAACAGGAGTGTTTTCTGAATTTTAGAGAAAAATAGGTAAGGAAATAAGAGGAGAAGAGTAGAGAGAGAGAGATATTTCTGAATATTCATATCCATTATATTTCTTTCACATTCTACTTATACTGATAGTTGCATAACAAACAAGCAGAAATTACGATAACTAATTATGAATTAACGTTGCTAAGACTACTTAAACCATATATCAGCAATATATTCTTGGACTCTATTTTCTTTTAGCCCAAAACATAATCTTTGAAGTAGATGAGCTGGTTCTTTTTTGTTAGGCTTCTTCCTTGGTCACGGGTTGGGCCTACTTCATCAACTTGACCCATTACACGTGGCATATTTTGCTGCACTGTGTAGCGAATTATTTGCACACATATTTCACTAAACAGTGTAGCGAAATATGCCACGTGATATTTTGACAAAATTTACTGTTGGCGTGACAGTCTGGTAAATTTTTTTGTCAACAGTGACAAAATGGTCACTGTTCTTGTATATGAGGCGTAAATTATAGAACTTAAGCGATGAGAAATACACGTCCAATTTGAGGCGTGACTCTTTCCACATTTAATATCTGCATAGAGGTTTGGAGCCTTTTTACATGCACCAAGTAATGGAAATCAGTGAATAGAGGTAACTTTACATCAACGACCATCAATCACACGACCTGTTAAACTGTGAAACGCGTTAACAGTGAATATTTACATTATTTTCAAACCGATTAAGTTTTAAAATTATGATTTTATTAATGCAAATTTATTTTATGGATTTTATGTTTGTTATGTTACATGATGTAACATAACTTTCCTACACATACAACTGAGAAGAGAGAGGAGAGAGGAGAGAGAAGAGAGAAGAAAGGAGAGGGAAAAATCAAAAGATAAGACTTACATAAAATTGTGTGTAGGAAAGTTATGTTACATCATGTAACATAACAAATATAAAACCATTATTTTATTTCTCTTCCACTTAATTTTTTAGGAGTTTGATTTTTTCATATGTTTGTGACTCAACTAGTGGTGAGCTTCACATTTATTAAAAAATAAAATATAAAAAAAGTTTTGTACGCAAATCAAAGGGTCACAACATGAGAATTGAATTCTCACGCAACATGAGAAAATGTTTTTTCAATTTTTTTTTTTTGGAGTTACCCAACCCTAATTACCTCTTTGAGGCGAGTTGGCTCCCTCCGGAATTCCCACAAGCTTCGACTCTTTGAGCCGGCTATGGGACTAATCCGGAGTGCGGGGGTCAGTGATGGCTAAAGGTTCAGCCCCCTCCCCAAGAATGCATTCAGCGGGAATCGAACACATGTCCAACCTCACTAACTCAGCGCCAAGGAACCAAGGAATATTTTTAAAACATTAATAGAATTTTTTGTTTGTTTTCTATTATCTTTTATTCTAGTTATTTTATTTTACCCTTTAGCTTTGAATATTTTTTCTTATATTTTATTTTTTAAATTTTATTTAAATTTAAAAATTCGTACAATACACGAATTCCTTCTGGTTAATCTAGTTATAATTCATTAAAAAGGAATGAAAATAATCTAATTTTTCCTTGACACATTTAATAAATAAATAAATATATTATAATTCATTCACTAATTATATTTTACAAATGGGGATATCTGATCAATCCATTCGAAAGCATTTTATATCTTAAAATTAATTTGACTTTTTTTTTTGTCTTTTACGCAGTGTCATCGTTCTTGAAATTTTATCCCTGTTTGGTTGAAGTTGATTTCTAATTTTTCTCTCTCCAAATTTCGTTATCTCTTAAAATTCCTCTTTTCGTGAGACACGGTACACCAAACATCTCTTACTTTTCAAAAGACACGGTCACGTCTCTAGGAACGACTCTCTCTTAGCTAATGTATCTCTCCTTGTAAGTCATGTCTAAATTCTAATTTTGAGTGTCTCTGTCTCTGCTCAAGTTGCACATTGAATGTGTCTTTCTCCTCATAAGTCACGTTATATATTGGGCGTCTTTCTTTTAGATCACGTCTCATGCGGGGTATGGCACTCACACCCTATTTTAAATATAACTTAGTGCAATAGATTTATTTTTAATTTCAAAATAATTATATTTTTGTAAATAATTATTAAAATAATAATATTTACAAAATTTTTTTTGCCGAAATACGCATATATATATATATATATACATATATATATATATATATATATATATCATATTATTATCTAATGCTCACATAACCCCATTACAGGATAATTATTTAGTTCATAACCTTGTACATTAATTTGAAGTTGATGGCGCATTTGCATAAGAAGTCAATATTGGGAATACAGACTAAAATATCACCTGTTCATCAAGTTTTTTACCTAAATGTCACGCGAACAGTATTATTTTTCAATCTGTTATGGTAGCGAACTCGGTTTGCTACCCGGTGTAGCGAACTCAGTTTGCTGACGTGTCACATTTTTAGTGGATAACAAGTACCAAGTTAAAAAAAAAAATAATAAGTATGGAGTTCGCTACCCCGTGTAGCGAACTTGGTGCCCACTAGAAATGTGACACGTCAGCAAACCGAGTTCGCTACATCGGGTAGTGAACTTGCCCCCGTGACAGATTGAGAAATAACACTGTCCGCGTGGCATTTAGGTAAAAAACTTAGTGAACAGTGACATTTTGGTTACTGTTCCTCACTATTGTATCATTAAATTAACCAAAATATTATTTATTTATTTATTTCAATATCTAAATAGATACGGAAAATACACACATATATATAACATGTAATTGTAGATTCTCGCACAACTTCAGCACTGGATAGATAATTACTGCATAACTTTCTTAATGATCGGTCGTGCTTTGCACATAGCTTCTAATGGAATTAACTTTGGCATAGCGACCCCTTTTGTCTCCATCATATCAATTTCTTCATCAGTTGAACGTTTCCATTCAAAGCACTGAATCAATAATCCCAAAGTCAAGCCCATTGTACGGTGTGCCAAACCTAATCCAGGACAAGCCCTTCTTCCCAATCCAAATGCAATTAATTTATTTGTTTCCCCTTCTTTTTCAAATCTCTCGGGCTTAAAACTTTCAGCATCACTCCAAGTCTCAGGATCTCTTTGAATGGCCCATGCATTAATCAACGCTATAGTGTCACGTGGAATGGTGAATCCTCCAATGTCGCACTCATCCGAAGAAAAATGAGGCAATAGTACCGGAGCTGGAGTGTACAATCGAAGTGTCTCGTAGATAATATTTTGAAGGTATGGGAGATTTGGAATGTCTGACTCATCTACCAAGCGATCTTGCCCAAAGTGAGTGTCCAATTCATCCTTCGCTTTCTTCAGTATCTCCGGGTGATTTAATAAAGCAGATATTGCCCACTCTATAGTCACAGCTGTTGTGTCTGTTCCAGCGAGTAACATGGCCTACAACTCAATTGAAGTCAAATAACATTTTATTTCCAAAAAAGAAGAAGTTAAATAACATTTGATAGGAAAAGAGTTTGTTAGGTGGAAGGATACAACTATGTGTCATTCTAATTATAATTTTCAAATGTTATTAAAACCGACTCGATGAATGATTCGGTCGAGATACGGGGCACTGGATTTTGGTTTAATCAGTGGATCACTGATTGAACCGTATGACCCGGTGATTATATATAAATCTATAATTTATATTAATAAATTATAAATATACTCAAATAGTTGGAAAAAATATAAATTCAAAATATTTTAATATAAAAAATAATAAATTATACATTATTGTCCAATAAAAAATCAAACAAACACATAATGCTTTTTATATTGGAGCTTCTTATATTGGAGTTTCAGGTTCGATAAACGACATCTCTAACTATCAAATCAAAATTTTCTCTGCATAATACATAATTGAGATAATATTAAGATTGTAGGTACATAACTTATGTAAGTCAATAAATAACAAATCACTCAAATATGTCAATTATGATTTATTTATTTTTGAAAACTTTTTTTTTTTTTAATTTTTTTTTTTTAAAACCGGACCAGGTCACCGGTTTTTTATCAAAACCGGCCGGGTCGTACCGGGTCTGATACTTGACTGATCCAATGTGATAACCAGACCAGTCAAATGACCGGTTCACCGGGTTCCGGGTCGACCCAGCCGGTCCGGTCCGATTTTCACAACAATGATAATTTTAAAGAATACAACTTTGTGTCATTCTAATTATCATTTTAAAGGATACAACTTTGTGTCATTTTAATTAAACCACTGTTTTGGTACATACTTGTTAATTTTTACACCCTCTCCGAGAATAGAGAAAGAGAAAATATTATTAAATGACACAAAATTATATCATTTAAAATAATATTTATAATTTATTGAATCAAACTTATTAATTAATTAATAATTCACAATAAATTATAATTATTAATTGACGTAAATCAAAGATTAGTATATAAAATAACACAAAATTATCTAGTTTAAAAAACAAATATTTTTTCCGACATATTAATTACCTGAATAAGCCCTTTGATAATATAATCTGAGTAGTATTCAGGCTGCGATTTTTGCAACGTTAAGAGATGTTCAATCATGGTATTGGCTCTGTGCTTTCCATTACGATGCTCTTCAACGAGTCCTTGCAAGAACGTGTCAGCTCTTTTGCTAATAGACTTCAACCTCTTCTCCAAACCATCAAGATCAAACCACCGAAGAAAAGGCAAGAAATCACCCTTGTTATTTGCACCCAACAACGATAGCATCTCCGAAATAATCTCTCTGAACTGCTTCGCTTCCTCGGCATCGGCAACATCAATATCCTCACCATAGTACCTCTTCCCAGAGATCATCCTCATCATGTTGTTGAACGTCATCTCCGTGAGCCTAGGTCTAAGCTGCACGTGAGTGAACCCCTTGCACGTGTCTTGAGCAAGCTTTTGCATGAACCTCAAGGTTTCGTCCCTTCGAACTTCGAAAAAGGAGTTTAGACGTTGTGTTGAGAGAACGTCAATAGTGGTGATGCGGCGGAGGTTGCGCCAATGGTCACCATAGGAGGCGGAACCTAAGGTGGTGTAATTGTAGAAGAGGTACTTTCCGGTGAGTAAACGTGGCCGGTTTGCGAGAACGGTGTCGTTTTTCGTGAAACACTCTTGAACTAAGGTTGGGGAGGAGATAACAACCACAAGACGTGAACCAAACCAAAGAGAGAAGATAGGACCACACTTTTGTGATAGTTTGTGAAGGGAACGGTGTAGTGGGGGCTTTATGTGGTGGAGATTGCCGATTATGGGAAGAGTTGGTGGAAATGGTGGAAGGTTTTTGAATCTTTTTCTTCTTTGTAACAAAAGCTTGAAGGTGAGAATGAAAGCAAGAGAAAGGATGGAATAATACAACAAAGGAGCCATTCCACTTAGTAATATAATTCCTAGTTTGCTAGTTGCTATACGAACTAGTTATTCCTAGTTCGTGATGCTTTTATAGTTGAATCTGATTACTATTGATGGTAAGGAGACAACAAGTGGGTAGCTAGCTGCACCTTTCATCATTAATTTTTTTTTTTTCTTTTTAAGAGATTATGTTACTTTCTTCAACAAAGAAGTATATATCGTATTATTATCTTTGAATCATAAAATTTATCTTAAATGTTGCATATTAAATATAAAAAATTACAAATCAAGTAATAAAAATTATAAACTGAAAGTTAAAGATTTTTTTTTTAATTTATAATTTTTATTACTTAACTTATGATTTTAAAAGTATAATATGATGTTGATGTGGGAAAAAATTTAAATACCACCATGATAGGTAGATCCGATCAATGAAAGCATGGCACATCATAATATGTTGTATCAGAGAGAAAAGGAAAGAAAAAAATATTTTTATACTTTATAATAAATCTTACTAATAAAACTTAGGGTTTAATGAGTATAATATTATTTGATGTAAAAAAAAATTTCTACACTCATAATAAAAAAGAAAAATATATATAGACCCTACCTCTTAATTGTGTGTATAAAAAAATTTTCATTGATCATATAAGATTATACTCATACAATCCTAAAACTTAGTGTAAAACACATTATGGTACCTAATTTTCAATACCATCGTGGTACTCAAAATGCATCGTTCATGTGCCAGAGAAGCGGACTAAAGTCCATCACAAGGCAACGATTTCTCATCAAGAACTCTTTTGTTTTTGTTAGCAATGCATAAGTTTCTAAAAAAAAGTCTCACTGATGTGACTGATGTGACAAAACTTAACGAGCACCAATATCAATTTACAAGGAGAAATTTTTTTTAACCAGGTAAATATAATTAATGAAAAAATGGTGGATAAATATAATTAGTGAAAAAAATTTAAAAAAGTTATTTAGTATGACAGAATATTACTAGAAAATTTGATATAATTAAGTTTAATACTATGTTTGGTTGAAAATAAAATATTCATGGATAAATATATTGAAAATCCAAAAATACCCCTTATCAATTTCGAATCTCTGAAATGAAATAGACCCGTTCCGGTCATTGGACACCTGTGCAACCAATCGTCTTCTTCGCCATTTCTCTGTGTCGCTCGTTTGGAAGTGAGACAGCATCGTTAATTTGGTAAATGGATTTTGAGACATTAAGAAAGGATTTAAATGATGCTTCAGTGATTCATTCCCTCACCTCCAACCGTAAGCAATGCTTTTCTTCAATATCAGTTGTTGTTGATATTGAATTTCAAAGAGACAACAGATTTTCCTTAGTGTATAGTTCGGGAGAAATTTTTTTTTACTAGGAAATGTAATTGATAGGAAAATGGTTGGAAATTGAGTTTGATAAGAAAATGTAAAACAAGTTGTTTGATTGACCCAAATATTATCAGGGAAATTTATTTAAATATGCAAAATCTATGTTCGGGAGAAACTTTGCACCTGTTTTTTCATTTTTCCAGTCATCTCACAATACCACATCTCAAGTGGTATTGTGTAACAGTGAATTTCATCCAAAAATCAACACAAAAGTCATTTTCCCATCTATCCTATTTGTCTGGTATTTCTTGAAAAAACCTGAAGCAAACGTGGTATTTTTCAATATCCACCTACACTTTTCCATCAATCCTCTGAATATTAGTTAATTCCACACCTTTTCTTCAATTTTTCTTCGTCCCTTTGAAACCCCATTGAAGATAAGGGGCATTTCAGTAACAAATATTAGGCCACTTTTTTCAGTTACCTATCCATCTGCAAATACCACTTCTGATGTGGTTTTTCGAAACAGTATTTTTGAGTAGAATTTGCACACAAGCTGAATTTCATGGGAAAGACATTAAATTTTTCATAGTCTTCTACCAAACATGGCATAATGCAATTTTCACCCTCACTTACCGGCCATCTCACAAGAAATCACCTACCTAACACTCTCTAAAGGGACGTTTGGTTGAAGAGAAATGTTTATGAATCGTAGAGAAATATGATTAGTAGGCAAATGGTTGAGAAGTGAGTTTGTTAAGAAAATATAAAAAAAGTTATTTGGTAGGAGAAAATTTCACTGGGAAAATTAGGTAATTTTTGTAAAATCTATTTTTGACTTTTGATAAAATATAGATGGGAAAAAATGTGATATTACAAAAATATCCTTGTTTTTAAAAATGATAATAACCTTGCCTTCATCCTTATCATTATTAACCTCCTTTCCTTGCTCAGTAGTATCTTCTTCAGTCTCTTTATCATAACCAAAAATGGTAATAACTCTTTCATCGCAACCCGGAACAGGTTCCTCAATTTTAACCTTCACACCAGTTTCTTGGCAAATCTGTGATACGATGGCACCACCTTTACCAATAACACCGCCGATTCTAGATGCAGGACAGAGTAAACGGAAGACAACATTTCCAGCAGGCACATCCAACGGTCCTGCAAATTTTTGGCCGGCTATCAAGTTTCCAGTTACAAATTTTAAAGAAAAAAATAAAATAAAAGAACAACAACAACCAGAGGATGAAGAAAAGAAAGTAGCAGTGTGAAGATCTGAATATAATTCAAACCTTTCCGGAGTCACACAGAGACGAAACAGCACCGTGGAGTCGACGATGGATGGAAGAAGGAGAGAGGGTACGCTCGTCTTTTGCTTATAACAAAATATGACCAAATACATAGATAACCAGAAATACTTCATCAGCAAAGGGTTTTTTTGGCCGGCTATCGGGCTTCAAAATCATGGACAAACTGATTTGCTAGCAAAGGAATTTAGGTAGGTAAATTATGAACTCTCTCAACCAAACATGGGCACCCAATTTCTCCACTTCACATTTGCGTATTAATCTCCTTAAAAACCTTCAACCAAATGCCCACTAAGTGGAGAAAATTTCTAATAGTCCAGGGCACCGACAATTAAGGTATCTTTTTAAAAAATTTGAAACTTAAATAAAAATATAAATAGAAGAAAGAAATAAAGTGAAATGTGTTTATTCTTTGAATATGGAACAGAAACTAAAGTGCTATATTTTATTCACAAAAAAAAAGTTTCACTTTTTTTTTTACTCAAATATCATGCGATTAGTATTTTTTATCAGATTATCACACGTCAAAGTTCTCTATGACTAGCGAATTGGTTAGCCTATAATTTTGTAATATGTGACACACACTTTTACAGAAAAAATTGACTGGACTAAGTTTTCTATTAGTGGTAACAAACTTGGTATGCTATATGCTAATGGAAACGTGTCACGTGGCCTAAACAAATTTGTTATCAGTCGTAACGCGACTACTAGAAAAAAACTCGTGTAGCGACGAAATTTCAATAAAATTTCCCACGCAAAATTCGTGGCTAATTCAATTTTCCTTGCAAATTCCGTCGCAAACCTCATTTGCAAAGGAATCTACGACGAAAATTCAATAGCAACTTCGTAGTTATATAGGTTTTTTCTAGTAGTAGCGAACTTCAACGCATAACAGTCTGGTAAAAAATATTGTTAGCATGGTATTTAGGTAAAAAATGTGACACTTTAATTACTGATTGTTACGCTCACAGTAAATGCACCGATCGTATAAGTAATATAATGATTAAGTAACAGATCGTTCCCACGAGGATTATAATTCAAACACTAATTCACTACATCAACTTAAGTTGGACAATCGAAATTGGATTTGGATCAGGAATTGATTTAAAAATTAAAATATTAAAACTACTTAAGAGCAAGAATAAAAACAAGAATTTAAAGATTTGATTACTTGACAGAAAATAACGTAGCTAGGGCTTCGATTTCCTTCAATCTCTCTATTACGTCTGAGTTCCTTCTTTATGTTAATCGTCCTTAATATCAATCCAATCAATTATTTCTAATGTAATTAGGATTCAATCCCTTGACACCCTAAGTCTTTACAATCTTGCAAGAACCCTAGTTCCCTGTTTATTCCCGAAGAAGGTAAGCATTATGTTCCAGAATCTTAAGATCACGCAAAATCCAATGTCTATCCCTAGAATCATAAGGATTACGATGAAATTATCAGATACGGATCATGAACCAACATTCCTATTATCATGCATTTACCTAAGATCAATATATAAGATTCAAGCTCATATAAAGCATTAAGAAAAGATAATTTCATTCATGATAAAAAGAAAAATTAACATAAAGAATTATTCAAAACATAATAGATTGATTAAATTCCATATAACCCTAACTACTAAAAAGACTTAGCCAGACATAGCAAAATCAAGAAAGAAAGGAATTAAGAGAGCTCCCCCAAAATCCATATTAGAATGGAAATTCTTCAATAACTCCAGTACTGCAGACTTGATTCTAATCTGTCTCTGCCTCTCATGAACATGAGCTGATGAAATCTCTGCGTTCCCTCTACCTCTGGTCACCAAGAATTCTTCAAGAATATGAAAAAGTATGTAAGTCTGCCCCAAATTGTGTTTTTAAGGACAAAGAATTCGTGCCCTAGGTGGATAGTTCAAGTGGGCCTAAGTTGGATCTTTCGGGGCGCTTAAGCCTGAATTTGGAGGCTTAAGCCTCCTGGGACAATAGTGCAGATTTGTATGAGGGAGCTTAAGCCTGAATTTGGGGGCTTAAGCGCCCTCTTCGAAGAGGAACTTTTACCTGCCAGCGAACTTAAGTCTGAATTTGGGGGCTTAAGCGTCCTCAGGCAGTGGCTTTTTGTAATTTTTGGAGTATTTGGAGGCTTAACTCAACACCTACTTATTTATTTGAGTTCAGAAATATTGTAGACACTACAAAAAAAAAAAGATTGTTTAGCCACATTTAAAAACGTGGCTAAATTTAACAAAAAATGTGGCTAAACCAAACTACCACACTTTTGCCAAATGTGGCTAATCTTGGCGGGGCATTTATTTGGCCACATTTCTTTCCTCACTTTGCCACTTGCTGTCATGAGTGTGGTAGCATTATATTTGCCACGGTTATTTTTATATTAGCCACATTATAAATGTGG